TTTTTAAAGAAGCATTAACATTTTTTGAAGCCTCTTGGCTACTTCTAATAGGTTAACCAGTTTGCTTCAATACGAACAAAACACAACGTTCAAGGCTTTGCTAACCTTCCCCTGTAAGATTCAGTAATGAAAAACCCTGAAGAGAGCAGAAGAAACAGCACAAGAAAACTCAACATCAGGGTACACGTGGTCTTTCTTAGCCATATCCATCCTCATGCAAAAGCCTGGAAGAAAGATGCTCTCTTGGAAGAGCCTCCCACCAACCCTCTCATTTCACTTTTGCGAAGCTGTAATACCCAATGTTATGCGACAAAGTTTGGCTACAGAATCTTTGTGTGCTGCTGTAGCAGTTCTGGTCTGCCTGTTGGTAGAGTGCTTCTGTTGGATGATTTGAGGTTTTCCTCCCTCTGCTTGGACATCCCCACACATTCCTACAATAGTTTGGGATCTAAGCTTAGACTGACAATCCATGGTAAATCACTGCATAGAACAGAGGACAAGCTTGACATATACAGAATAAACTGCAGAGATACACTGCCACACTCTATACTATCTGGAGTTTCCCCAAGCACTGAGGACTTCGTGCCTAGGTAGTCAGCACTATTGGAATCTAGATGGAAGGTAAAGGCAGCACAAATAGCTAATAGTTGCATCATCTGCGGCGATGAAACATATCACAACTAACCAAAAATTAAAAGGGAGCAGTATATCTAAGTTTGTACACATACAGCATAGGTGGGAGTTTAGTGTCAGTTAAATTTTGCTAGAATTCAATTTTTTAATCCAGTCCGCTCTTGTCAAAACACAACACCATCAAGCAACTACTAGTAGGGTCCTGCATGGTGAAAGCAGTATGTATTATTTGCATAGGGCTGGGATTTGCTGTTGTCTAACCAATTCACCTAGAGGCTAGTTGTGCATTTTCAAAAGAATCAGACTTCACAAATCTAGGGACAAAGATACTGTTTCCATTTCTACTTCTTGATTGCGCCTCTTCAGAAAAGATTCGGAAGATTTAAACCATTTGTAGATTGCTGCCACTTCTTAGTATCTCATAGCTGATGGTAGCAAATATAGCACAGAAGCAAAGCATAAATGTCTTGCCCATATTCATAAAGAAAAAAGGACATAATCTTTCTCTCACACCTAAATAACTTGGGGTTTGTGCCCTGTCCTGAGATAAAATACAGCTGCATCTAGTTATCACCTGCCCAGAAAGAATCAAAAAAAAAAAAAAGAAAGGCTATGAATTGGCTACAAGTCAGGGTCCAAGTGAGTAGGACACTAAAACA